TGCCAAGAGGACAACAAAGGAGGTTCCAGGGGAATGATTTAATGGAAAGACTTTCTGAATTGGGACAGTACTATTGAGAAGGCATTGGAGTCCTCCAGCTAATTAAATATGGCAGAACGTGCTCAGGTGACATTCCATTGATTTCCAAAATTGGCATGCTGCCTATAGAAGGTCTGACTCCTATAGACTGAATTCACTGGTGTTTCAGAGGCAGAGAGCATCTTCAGGTAATATTAATAGATGTGTTGGAGGGTGTTTTGAACGTTATCTTTGAAGACCTTGGGCCCTAAGCTGTTTAAAGTTTAATAGATCATTGTTGGTATCTTAGATTGAACATGGAGAGTTAATTTACTTGTTCTATGATGACAGATTCAGTAGGCATGTATGTTTGAGGGAGAGCTTTCTAGCAAGTTCTGAATTCACCAAGGCAGTTTTATCAATAAGGATGTTATTTCTTGGCAAAAATATTGCAGTATACAGGTACAATGAAGAAAATAACAATGCACACTGCAAATAGATGATTGGTTGGAATAATAGCTGGATTTATTTTATGCTTCCTAGAGTGGGAGGAACCCAGAAGGGACCAAAATTGCATTTATATTACCTTGATTTTTAAAAATCTGTTTAACCAAAATCTGATTAACATAAAACTGCCGTATGACTTTTTCTGGGCAGGATAATCATAAAGTAATCTAATTGCCAAGAATTAGCAGCTTTTAGAATCATAATGCTACAATTGTATATCAGGGTCTGTCTATAGTGCATGGATAATCCTAGTGCATATGGATGGAAAAATTATCTTTGCAAACAGCTTAGCTAGGGCTTCAGGATCAGGACCAGCACTGCATTGATCCTGGATATAAACAGATCTCTTAGGTCAGGGATCCCCAACCCCCGCTCCGTGGCATGCCAGCAACTGGTCGTGGCATGCCAACAATTGGTCCGTACAAACAAGCAAAGCCCCATCCGTGGAATGCAGGTAGCACACAAAACCACACACCCTCTTGGTCTGTGGAAAAACCTCTCTCCGTGGAACCAGTCCCTGGTGCCCAAAAGGTTGGGGACCTCTGTCTTAGGTCTGATGTTACATGTGTCAACTCTACAACAATCCTGGCCACAGCCATTTTGCTCGTTCTAGGTTGCCACAAGAATGGGAGGGGGTGCGGGGTCTAAACAATTTACTGTCCCGTGGGAACCAAGGTCATTTCTGCCAGTTAGTGTGGGGCGTGGGCATTTAGTTAGAAAGCCCACCAAACTATTCTATTGGGGAACGTAGCTGATTACATAGTAGTGGGGAAGGAAGTTCACCTTTGTAATATTGTTTCTCTCTGAAGGGATCTTCAGACTTGGTTTCACTTTTGACCATGGCGATACTATGTAACCAATAAACATGTTCTTTGAGGAATTTTCAAGCCTTGGAGTTCTGATTTGTTTGGTCTTGTTTATCGGAACCTTGACAGCATGATATTTGCAGCTGGAATAAGACAAAATTGCAAAATTGATATGTTGGATCAGCTCAGGCTTTAAATCAGTTAGTTGTACTGCAAGAAAATGATGTAAGAGATTACTTAGATGGGGAGGCCCCTAAGACTAAACTCAGTTATCAAGAAAAAGTACAGTGCCAGAGCTGCTGTTTGGGAGTACAGGAGAGATTCTTGGATCTGCATCTGCTGGTTCAAGAAAGATCCTGGCCTCTGTGTCTCATTAATGAGCTACTTGAATTGGAAGCCTCGCCCTCTACAGATAGTCCTCAACTTAACAAAAGTACATTTAGTGATCATTCAAAGTTACAACAGCACTGAATAGAATGACTTATGGCTGGTTTTCACATTGACAGCCATTGCAGCATCCCCATGATCACATGATCAAAATTCAGACACTTTATCAACTGACTCCCATATATGACAGTCACAGTGTCCCGGAGTCATGTGATCACCTTTTACAATCTTCTGACAAGCAAAGTCAATGGGGAAGCCAGATTCACTTAACAACTGCATTACTAACTTAACGACTACAATGATTCACTTAACAACTGTGGCAAGGAAGGTCATAAAATGAGGCAAAATCTGCTTAGCAGCAGATATTTGGGGTCCATTATCATCGTAAGCCGAGGGTTACCTGTACCATCGTTCTTTTAAAACCTGATTTAAGTTTTTGATGAGTGATTTTCATCCAGTCCATATTTAATTGCAGAATTAATTCAGGATTTCCATTTGCCCTTATGTGAAGTTTTTTTTTAAAAAAAGATGTGTGGCTGGATGTATGCAATCTTAACTCCTGGTGCTCTGCCACTCCCTTATAATTACTGACGTGTAGATTTTTTTTTAATTTATTATTTTTTTTATGCCACCCATCTCCCCTAAAAGGTTAAAATGACTAGGAAGTCCACAATTCCTCCTTCTGCAGAATAGAAATTAGACATGTATCTAACACTCCTAACTCTGTAAAGCAGTCTAGGATGACAGAAGAAACAGTTATGTCAGAAACCTCTGACAAGTCCAGGCAAAGACTTGATTTCCTCGCTTCTCTGGCAAAATAACTGCTGTTACTACTAATAAATATACTGTAAGATACGTTTTATGTTGTACAGAGTATGGCAGATGTACACACAGATCGTAATGAGTCGTGATTTCCATTTCAAAACAAAAGGAGACAGTTTTGTCTCCATGTTGTTTCTGGCAGAACCAGTATAGGAGGTAACATAGGTTGGGGAGTATTCAAAATTCCTATGATGTTAATCTCTGAACCAACTCTCTTTGTTTAGAAATCGAGCGATAGCAGATTATCTTCGTTCTAACGGCTATGAAGAGGCATACTCTGTTTTTAAAAAGGAGGCAGAGCTTGATGTGGTGAGTATATTTCACATATTCCAGTTAGGGGATAATTCTTCCCACAGTCTCTTTCCAGTGGTCCCATAGTGTCAGCAGTCCCCTTAGTACAGTATAATGTCCTATACCAGACATGTCAAACACAAGGCCCGGGGGTCGGATGCAGCCCACGAAGTGGTTTCATGTGGCCCGCGAAGCCATCCTGGAAACAGTGAGGGAACGGCCCCCGCTGCCTGGGCCCTGGCCCAGGCCAGCTGGGAGCCAATGTACAATTTTGTGGTGGCCATCTTGGCACGTGCCCCGGTGGACCATGCCTTGTCGCTTGCCCCAGTCCCACCCCCTTCTGCCAGAGACCCTCAGATCTGTCCCACTCCTGCCCAGGCCCCCTTGACGTGAATGATGTAGAACTGGCCACGCCCACCCAGTAGGCCACACCTGCTCCATCCACGCCCACCCAGTAGGCTGCACCCACTCTGGCCACAACCACCTGGCCCCCCCAGGGCAACCGCAATGCTGATGCGGCCCTCAGTGAAATTGAGTTTGACACTCCTGTCCTATACTATTAGTATAATTCTTAGCATTAATGATGAATTTAACCAGATTTTGAAAGTTATAGCTGATGTTCGTAGATTCTGGGCAGGCTTTGTTGAAATAATATTCCTCATCTTGAGGCAGAATAGATAAGGGCATTTAAAATATGTGTATAATGATAGATAAGGGCATTTAAAATATGTATTATAGCAGTTTTCATTTATTTAAATAATCAAACGAATTGGAAGAATAATGTGAAAACTGTACTATAGGATAAAAAATAAACCATTAAACCAACTAGACAGAGTTATAGAATGGGAAAGATTAACATGACCAAATAAGTATTTTTAGACAGATACTAGACAAAAAAGCAAGGAAAAATGTTTAGCTACTTCCAGTGTAATATAACTGGCTACCTTTGGTTTTAGTCTAGTTCAACATTTTTTTCCCCAATCAACTTTACTGCAAAATCTCATAATATTGGAGCTGTATCATTACAGAGGATAACATATAGATTTATCTGGGACATTTCAATACAATTCCCAGTATTCTTTAAATTTTTATTTTATTGCTGTTTTCAGGAGAAAACAGAAAAATCTCATTTGTCAGCTCTCTATATCTTCATTTGGTTTTTTTCTTTTTAATGAAAAGATTATAAGTAGTTAATGAAATGTGAATTTCTTCACCAGTTGTCCTTCAAAGTTTTTGTTTAAAATGCAAAACAATACCAACTAAGCTGTCCATTAATTTCTGTACTTAATGGGTGATCATTTAAAAAATCTTTTTTCTGCTTTCCACTACTTTACATTAGAAAGAAATGTATAATCCAGCCCACATCTTCTTCACAGGACTTCATTCAATATGGATAGTTCTGTCCATATTAACATGTTTGGAAATCAAAGTTGCCCTGATCAATTAAATGAGCAGCATGTAAATGTAATAAATAAAAATAAATAAAATGTTTTATCCTTAAAAATGAAAGTTAAAAGACAATTTTTCTGTTTTGTTTTGTTTTTGTTTAAAGATTTGAGTATAAAATAGTTTCCTCAATGGTTTGATTCATTCCTCAAATGACAGTTGGATTAGTTTAATTGTAGCACATTAGTGGCTTATAGCAGGGCTTTTCAACCTTTTCACCCATTGTAGCACTTTTAGGATATGGCAACATCCGAGTACCACCAGTCGCCTAGCAAGGTGTCAAAAACTTGACCCCCAAAAAAAAATAAATGAAAAAAGTGATAAAGTACAGGTAGTCTTCAACTTACAACAGTTCACTTAGTGACTCTTAGAAGTTACAATGGCACTGAAAAAAGTGCCCCCCAAGCCACAGCCGAGCAAGACACCTGCCTGCCCACCCGGCGGCGCTCTTCCTCCTGTCCGAGGTTTTCATTGTTGTGAGCATTTCTGTTGAGGATTGGCAGTGGGGGTGGGGTGGGGGGTGTTTGGTTTTTATTCCCCCCCCCCGTCTGATGGGTGGTTGCAGCAGGTTTTGGTCACTTCACATGACCCTGGGACACTGTGACCATCATAAATATGAATCAGTTGCCAAGCATCTGCATGTAAATCACAAGACCCTGGAGATGCTGCAACATTCCAGCTGATTGGTGCTTCTTCAGGGCTCAGCAGAATCACCAGGATCAGCTCCAAGCTCCAGCTAGGGCCTGGCGCTGATCCTGGCGCTTCCACTGAGCCCTAACAGCCCCGAAGAAGCGCCGATCAGCTGGAAAGCGGCACTGATCCTGGCGCTTCCGCTGAGCCCTGACAGCCCTGCAGCTCCAGCCATCTCTCGCTCAGGCTTGTGTGGTACTGCCACCGGTTCAGCTCATTCCCCTCCCCTGCTACCACTTTTCTAGGATGGTCGCGTACCACCTGCCAGGTGCCAATGTACCACAGGTGGTACCCGTACCACTGGTTGAAAAGCCCTGGCTTATAGCATTGACTACTCATTAATTTTAAAATGACAAATATAAAATTCTGATAGAGAATATTTATGTACACAACTGTTAGATTTGTTGGAGCATCACCTGTTTTTGCTTTTTTCAAAACAATTTGTAAAGATGCAAAGAAAATTGGCATGGGAAGATATACATTTCCTAATTATTTATAAGTTCTGTTTTCTGACTCTTTCAATAATGATAAACAATTTCAGGCTCTGAGCAATTTCAGTCAGTAGAACCAGGGCATCTTTAAATTAATATTATTTTTATCTGTGGAATGTGAAGATCTTATAGTCGGTTGTCTGCTTCCCATTTCATCTGTTCCTCTTGGCCTTTTTGGAAGATTATAAACTGAAGAAGTTGCAGTATTACATTACTCATAGCAGAAAAGGTAGCTATATAAGTAAACAAATGATAAACAGCTTCAGGTTTTCTTTTTAACCCTAACCCTAATCTTTTTTATTCTTTTAAACTTCATCCTATCTACATGCGATTTAAATACACCTTAATCTCAGACTGTGAAAACATCAAATTTCATCTTCCTTGCCAAAAGATCCACTTGAGGCTCCAATTTCATTTCCCTAAATCTCATCCAAATAAAGTCCTATCGTAATCTCGTTCATGTAATTGGAAACGGTCCTTGATGACAGGAGTGGTGCCTTATCCATCCATCTCATTAAATATTTTTCCCCAGAAGGTAAAAAGGAGAATCCGAATATACTAAATATTTATGTTATTCAGCCACCAGGGAGGCCTTCTCTCCTTATGAGAAAATAAAAGAGAAGCTAGAGGAGTGTGAATTTGGTAAAGAATGAATGAGTGAATTTAAAATATTTTTTTAAAAATCAAGCAATGGCTACTATCCTTCAAGGAAAATAAAATAAGCATTTCTATCTCAAAACAGCCTGCGCTAGAAACATCGAGAGATTTCAGTACTGTTCCTCAGTATTAAACAGAGACCAGGTTTTCTTACTGCAGTGCATATTTTAGCCAGCTCATTGATTCAAGAATGTCTGCTTCACACCCAGTGACTGTTAATGACCATTATTGGTTAGATAATTTTTGCTGACTGTACTTTCTACATTTCATTTTTCATTTGACCTTGCCTTTTATTGCTTTCTTCCTTCTCTCCCTCCCTGATGCTCTTACCCATCTAATTCCCAGGAAAATACTCCGTGCATCTGATAATATGGATTGAGATTTAAGAAAGTTTATTGCTAATAGATAATTTGTTAGTGTTTTTAAGATACCAGAACAGCTCCTGTTTGCTTACCCCGACAGAAATACGCATTCATATCTATGGATTAGGCATATTTTATATAATCTGCCTATAGTCTTAACTATCCTGTTATTCATCAGGTTTATCTACTGAAGCTTCTTAGCTACAGTCTTAAGGCACACTGGCGACCGTTTTTATTTTTCTGCAGTGTGTATCAGAATAAGACTTGCTGCCATAAAATGTGTTGATTTTCATCTAGATAATGTTCCAGGCAGTCTGCCACTGAGAATTAGTATCTGGGAAAAAAAATCTGGAGAACTATTTAGAGTTTTTCAGAGGCTTCTGACTGCCTGCTGCAGGAAAAAATGGCTGAGTTGGGTAGATCAGCACAATATAGGTTCATATGATGACAGTGATAACTATAACAATAATTTTTCAAGTTATATACTTCTGAATCCCCATAACTCCTGGTGGGTAATAGTGAATCATTCACAATGAACCAGCAAACCTGGCATCGACTGACATTTAACTTTGTTATAAGCATAATACCTCAAGTTGTACCACTTTTATGCAGAGTTTCCAACCTGCTATAATAGGTTTGTAGTGATTCTTCATTAAGTTCCACATTTTTATGAAACCAGAAGTTCTTCCTCTTCTTGAAAAAGAAAAACCAAACCTTTGCGGTGGGGGTGGGAGAAAAGCTCTTAAAAAGTTTTGATTTGTTTAATGACTTTGATCTTTTTTTTTTCAGAATGAAGAATTAGATAAGAAATATGCTGGGCTCTTGGAAAAAAAATGGACATCAGTTATAAGATTACAAAAGAAAGTAAGTAGAAACTTACATTGGTATGTTCCTGGCAAAAAAAATGCTGTGCTGAGATTTTTTAAGCAGCATCTGAAAAAAAATAATTATTTTTTTTTGAAGAACTGTATATATTTTTTAATTACTGGTTTCTTCATCTTAATATTTAGTTTGGTCTGGTGGTTAAGGTATCAGGCTAGAAAGCAGGAGACTGTGAATTCTAGTCTTGCCTTAGCCATGAAAACCAGCTGGGTGAGTTTGGGCCAGTCCCCCTCTTTTCAGCCCAACCCACCTCAGAAGGTTGTTGGTGGGGAAAAGAAGAGAAAGAAGGTGTATGAAGTATATTTGAAGTATTTATGAAAATAATAAAGGTACGATAAAAATAAATATTCCGTCTTTCTGATAAGGAGCTCAAAGCAGAATGTATATAACCCTCCATGCCCCTCGCTCCATCCACCCCTATGTAGGATTGGCTGAAAGTTATTAACTGGCCCAAAATTACTCAATGAGCTCTCTCTGCCTAGTAGGCTCTTAATAACTGAATCTCCCCCATCCAGCTTCAACATGCAGTACTTTCCTCTTAACATTTTATTTTAAAAACATAACAAAGAGCATTTACTTCTTTTTATAATTGTACAAATTCTGTAGAATGAGATACTTGAGGAGAGCTGTTCAAAAAGTAATATTGACATAGTTTCCCCCCTCCCCCAAAAAAACCTTAGTATAAAAACATATATCAATTCATTGTTTCAATATTGAAGTAATTCAGGCATTCAATAATTATGCAATTAGTTCTGATGCACTATCCAACTACTTCATTATTCCAGTATTTTGTAATTATATGATGGATAAGATCAGTAAACAAAACAGATTTTTAAAATCCTTGGGTACTGAATGTCTTTTAAATTTAAATGGATGCATATTCTGAAAGAAGATATTTAGTCCTTTTTTTGGGGGGTCTAATACGCTGATTAGCATCATGGTTCCAATACAGTGGTACTACATATCTTTTCCGTGGCTTTTAATTTAAAAGCAATGTGAAAATACTTTCTTCTGAATAATGTGCAATGATTCCAGAATTAAGTGCAACCAAGGGGATACATGAAGAATATGATTTTTTTAAATAAAATTTAAGTGTTCGTGTGTGTGTGTGTGTATTTGTTTGTACATGTGTCTCTACAACCCCCTCACAAATATTTGTTGAACAAATTGAAAGCGATAACAGGAATTTACAGAAAAAATGAATTTCTCTGGATTTGCCAAGCTTTCAAATGTATTGATGTTCCAAAATTTAAACAAACTAACCTGAAGAATTTGAAGGAAAAAAAAACTGACAATTAAAGATGGCATAACAAATGGAATTATCCAGTAATATTTAAGAGAAAATGGTAAATTTTTATTACTCAGCTAAAGCTGGATTTATTTTGCCTTAGTATTAATTAAAAAAAGAGGACTGAATTGATTCAAAGTAACCAGGCAGATGTTGAATTTTGTTGAGTTTCTTTTAGAAAGCTATATTACATACTTCATGATTGCATATAACAGACTTTCCTCAACCAATACCTTCTAGACAGGTTGTACTATTAATCCCCTAATCCCTTTTGTGATTATTGCAAATTAAGTGGTTTGTAATCCACTATATTTCAAGTTGAGGAAGTTTGGTATTCAATATATATTTGGAAATCTCTGTTCTGTAATTATTCTCTGAGAGCTTTTAGTATATTTGTATGTACATATGTACTTACAGGGCCTCTCTACATCTCTGATCAAAAGTAGCTCTGGCTGGCTTATGTGCCCTGTTTACATAAATAAAAAAATTAAGAAGTACAGTGTGTAAATAGAATAAAAATGAAATAAAAAAGAATATCAGAAAAAAATAAATAAAGCCTGGCATTCGTTAATTTCCACACAATATTCTCATTCCTAAACCTGTTGAAAAAGGATAGGTTTTTTTTAAAAAAAAACAAACAGTGTGTCCTTTGTTAGATCTTTTTCTTTTGATTCTCTCGAAATGTAGGTTATGGAATTAGAATCCAAATTAAATGAAGCTAAAGAAGAATTTACATCAGGTGGGCCTCTTGGTCAGAAGCGAGATCCTAAAGAATGGATTCCCCGTCCTCCAGAAAAGTACGCATTAAGTGGGCACAGAAGTCCAGTCACAAGAGTAATTTTCCATCCAGTTTTCAGTGTTATGGTCTCTGCTTCAGAGGATGCTACAATAAAGGTAGGACCTTCACAACCTGTGCACTCTACTGTTACTTTGGGTCTAAATGTCTGGTGCAAATGGCTGAACAATGACTAAAGGTCCTTTGATACCTTACTTATTGTTGGTCACACAGCCAGCTGTTTAGCCTTGATTTAGCATTTTTATCCACCGTTTTGAGTCCTTTCCAAAAACATAGGATATGGATATTGTTTGATGGTTCCAAAGGTGGTGTTGCAGGATGTAAGCTGTTATCTGTAAAGCTGCCTTTTGCAATTGACTGGTGGTGATTTTGTCGATGCCGATGGTGTTCAGGTGGTGCTCCAGATGGTTGCACCCAAGGCCCTGTTACTATTGATACTGTATTTGTTTTTCTATCTTTTCCCAAAGTAATTCTATTTCTATTTGCAGGTGTTTGTATTTTGTGACTTTCTCCAGTTTTTTTTTCTCCTCTGGAAAAAATGCAAGTCATCAAAAGATGGGCCTTTTTATTGTTCCAAGTTTTTTTAGCATCTGACTAAAATGATAAGAACACATCATGTTTGGTTATAACAGACAGGGGATGGGAACTAGTTTATATGAACACTTACCTAATCTTGAATTTATTATGCCTGATTCTCAATCTAGAGTTGTAAAGAATTTTGAAAATGATGGGAGAAAAGCAATAAGAAAAGGGAGGATTTAAAAAAAATGCATTACCCTCTGCCACTGTTTACATTTCTACTACTATTTATTATTTTTTCTTTCTAGAATAGAAGAAGGCCATGGAGAAGACTTAACTTTACCCCTATCTTATTATGCTAATTTTAATTAGGTAAAAATAATGAAGATTATTGGATTAAAACCCCCCTTATCCTATGTGTCTCTGTTGTAGTCTTGAGTGAGGAAGCCAAGATGCAGGCTGGCCATCTTGATGAGAATTGGGGCTTTTTTATTTTCATTTTTAGAACAAATCTGCTTAATTTTTTTTCCTCTTGTCAAGGAAGTGATTGGGCCCAATACACGTAATCCTCGACTTATGACCACAATTGAGCCCAAAACCTCTGTTGCTAAGCAAGACAATTATTAAGTGAATTTTGCCCTATTTTATGACCTTTCTTGCCTTTCTTGTTAAGTGAATCATTGCAGTTGTTAAGTTAGTAACACAATTGTAAAGTGAATCTGACTTCTCCATTGACTTTGCTTGTCAGAAGGTTGCAGGGACAATGCAACCGTCATAAATATGAACTAGTGCCAAGCATCCGAATTTTGATCACATGACCACGGGGATGCTGCAACAGTTGTGTGAAAAACTGTCATAAGTCACTTTTTTCAGTGCCGTTGTAACTTCAAATGGTCACTAAATGAACTGTTGTTAAGTGGAGGAATACTCTGGAATTCCTTCCCCATTGAACTCCAGCCTGCTGCTTCTCTTCTGGGTTTCTGGAGAAGATTTAAGACCTGATTGTTGTTTTCCCCCCCATCAGGCTCAGGAAAAAGGAATATTTGAATCTAGCAGATGTATATTTTGTACATTTTTCTTGTTTGTATAATTATGATATTGGGCTTGTTTATTTTATGGGTGGATTTTTTTTTACAGGGGGGAAGATGTTTCTGATTGTTAGTTGCTTAGAGTCTTCCGGAACGAATGGCATACAAATAAATAAAAGGCTGAGCTGCTTTGTGTGCTTTTAGAGTAAAGCTTTATGATTTTTTTTTTAAGAAATTACATAATACATCCCTCCGAACCATTGAATTGTTAAGTGTGCTTTAAAAAACAGCTTTTGTTATGTCTTTGTGGTTTCAAGAGTTCTTAATAGTATAGCTCCTGAGACTAGAACATAAAAGTACAAGAGAAGCTCTGGGTAAAAACATCATGACAGCAAATTGCCTCTTTTTTTTTTTTTTTGCTAGTTATAATTCTTATATGCACTATATGGTTCAACCATTTATATTTTTAGCTGACAGTGCTCTCTGCTTTTGGAGGCAACAGAAATCTCATGTGTGCCTACAAAATGCACATGTGTGAATTCTCTCATGTATAGTTTGCAAACAAGTTGTTTTAATTCATGGGGAATATACTTAAATCTTAATTTGAGAAGTTGCTAACCTTTTTAAGCATATTTTAGCATCCTTTTTTTATCAGAAAGGATCTTCTCTCTAAAATCTATTAGATTTTGAGGAATCGGTTGGGGCTTGGGGGAATGTCAGCATTGCCAACTGTGTAATACAGGGGTCTTCAAACTTGGCCCTTTTACGACTTGTGGACTTCAACTCCCAGAATTCCTCAGCCAGGCATGCTGGCTGAGGAATTTTGGGAGTTGAAGTCCACAAGTCGTAAAAGGGCCAAGTTTGAAGACCCCTGGTGTAAATAGATCCTTGTCCCTCCTGATAAATTTAAGACCTTGTGAGAAGTGATCAACTACTTGCTTCAGGTGGTGGTTAATTCATCCTTGAATTGACAGGTTGATCTATTAGGCAGAGAAAACCATCACTAGACCCAGCATCGGTATAATGTTTTACCCGTTTCCAACCTTTCCTTTTGGAGGAAGATTATGGAGAATGTGGAATGCAATAACTTCAAAGGACTCTGGAAAAAGTGAATTATCTAAGATGTGCATATAGTACTGACTGTGCTTGTGGATGAACTTCGGTGGTGGTGATGGGGGGGGGGGTCCAAGAGTGATGTGGTCCTGCTTGATCTCTCAGTAGCATTTGATATCATTGATTATGGTATCCTTCTGGATCGTCTCTGGCTATTTGGGGGATGGCTCTATTTTGTTGTGTTTCTTCTTCCTTTGGGCCAGTTTCTAATTGGTGTTGTTAGGAGAGAGAAAAAAATCCCTCCTTTGCTCCTTGGAAAAGACCCAAGGCATTTGTTTTGTGAAATCCCACAGAATTTGACACTCTCTCCAATTTTATTCAGCATCTGCATGAAACCTCTGGGCGAAGTTTCTGCTGGCATGGGGTTTGGTTTCATTAGTATGCTAATCATGCCCAGTTCTAAATCTTGATCTTTAGCCAAATAAGTAACGCTGTAGAAGCCCAGCCTTAGTGTCTGGTTATGGCTGTGGATGAGAAGAAAGAAGCTTAAGCTCAACTCTGAATAGCCTGGGTTTCAGGGACCTGCCAGTCACAGTGATTCTGCCATCTTCAGTTCTTGAAGGGATTGCATTGTCTGGGAAGAACCGATGTGCAGTTTTGGTGGTTCTCCTGGACTTTTGTCTCCAGCTCTATGAGGAGAGGGCAGCCATGACCAGAAGAGAGCCTTTGTACAAATTCATCTTCTGTACCAATCACGTCCCTTTTCTTTTATTTATTTCTCACATTTATATTACTGCCTATTTGAACTAGGAAGCCCTCTTCCGTATGCCTTAGTACCCACTTATATGGACCGTTGCAACATGTTGTACTAGGGACTACCCTTGATGAAGCTACAAGTGGGCCAGAATGCAACTGTCTATGTATAACTGTTGGGTTATACAGCCACAAATAATGGCTTTTCTGACAGGCTTGGTATACAGTATAGCAATTGGTTCCCTGATGCTGGTTAGTTGCCGATACGTTTGTTTGGTTGCCTTCCTTGATGTGCGCCATGCATTTTAATGTTAATTTTGTCCTTTTGTTTCTTTTACTTATTTACTTGATAATTCTGTATTTAGAATCTTGTTATGATTGAGATGGCATACACATTGATTTACAAACAAATGGGCATTAAAATAATGTTTCAAATAGTTACAGGTAGTCCTTGATTTATGATGACGGTTGAGTCCAAAATTTCTGTTGCTAAGCGAGACAGTTGGTAAGTGAGTTTTGCCCCATTTTACAACCTTCGTGGTCATAGTTGTTAAATGAATCACTGCAGGTGTTAAGTTAGTAAGACAGTTGTTAAGTGAATTTGGCTTCCCTACCACATGACCCCAGAATATGAACCAGTTGCCAAGCATCCGAATTTTAATCATGTGACCAGGAGGACTACCTGTACTTTTGAAACAAATGTGCAAAAAAAATAATAGTTTGTGGAAATATATATTTACTAATTTGTTTCTCTTAATTCCTAGGTATGGGATTATGAGACAGGAGATTTTGAACGCACCCTGAAAGGCCACACAGATTCTGTGCAGGATATTTCCTTCGACCATAGTGGCAAGCTGTTGGCCTCTTGTTCTGCAGATATGACCATTAAGTTATGGGATTTCCAAGGCTTTGAGTGCATCAGAACCATGCATGGTAAGGAATTATTTAAAAATCATTAGCAATAATAAGATAAAATTAAAAACTAGGTATGTACCTCTTCTCTCCTATGATGATGATGATGATGATGTGAACCAGAGGACATCACATTCAAGGTATTCATGCCAAGGCTTAGTTCTCATATGCAGCTTGATATCCATGTATTGGAGCATTTTGTGTAGCAGGTGACAACTCACATCTTTAAAAGCTTTCCCATGCAGTAGCATCTTCTCCAGGAATGCCATAGTTCAGGGGTAGGCAACCTTGGCTTTTTTATGACTTGTGGACTTCAACTCCCAGAATTCCTGGCTCAGGAATTCTGGGAGTTGAAGTCCACGAGTCATAAAAGAGCCAAGGGTGCCTACCCCTGCCATAGTTCTATCCTAAGCTCCCCTTTTGTGTATTAGCAGGTTGTTTTCTAGGGTGGTGCACAACATGGGGAGACATGACTCACAACCCTGGAAGTGGTGTGATCCAGTTCATGCACATGTTAAACATTCTTGTCACTAATCTGTTACGTTGCCTGGTGTATTTTGTTTCTTATTACTGGCTGCTTATAATTTAACTTTGTTGTACTCTACTAATATTAAAATGTTACAGGTTTCATGCAACATTATATGTTGAGTGGGAGCTAAAGGCTGTAATGCTTACTATTTGTTTACTATATGATGCCATTGCCGGTCAGTAACCATAGGAAGCATCCATTTTGGTTCATTTTACTATTGCTATGTATTCAAAAACAGAAATTGTTTCTCTCTTCATTTCTTTGAATCAAAAACTTGCCTGTTCTACAGTTCCAGAACTGCAGCCATGGCTGAGAGGCATTCAGAGATTTTTGCTTCCTGAGAGTGTCTTTAAAGAGCCCCAGTAGGCAGAGCATGTTTCTGAAAACAAGTTTATTGCTTTCAGAGGAAGTTGAGTAGCGCTGTTTCTAGCCTAGAGGCAGAAAATGTTTGCTACTTTTCAAAAAGAGCAGCTAAAAAAACGGTGGCTAATGTCTACAAACTTTCTCCCTGGGGATTAGTGAATGGAGAGACTGTTACCCTCCAAGTGTTGTGACTTTAACCCAATCCCTGCCAGCCTTAGCCAGTGTGAGCAGCAGTTAAGATTTCTCTCTTCTGTGCACTGATGATATTACCTAGACTGGTAATTAAATGTCTGCAGGGAACAGCCACTCCCCACAAGCTTAGAAAATGCCAAGAACTTTTAGCGCCAGGCATAATTTTATATTTCAGCAATCCTCCTTCCCACTTTAAAAATCTGCAGTGCTGTGTCCTCTTTGGGATTGCCAGTCCATGATTATTCAGCTACATACACACCCCCGTCAGTCTCCTTTTCAGTTCTGCAGTGACCTTTTTTGAATGTGACAACCAAATTTTGCTATTCAAAATATAACCGTTCCCCCCCCAGTGCCCATTCAGATGACGTAGCCTTGATTACAGATTCAAAGAATAGATTCAGTCTTCAGGACTGAAAAAAAACAGTCTGTTTATAAGTTGCCTAAATTCAAGGGTGCCACTTGTCCTTTTTTAAAATTTCTGTAGCAATCTTTCTTTGATTTAAAATTCTTGGGCATACTGACATGAAGCCGCTCCTTTGCTATTTCCAGATTCTTTCAATATCTGCAAGGTTACAACCTTAAGGGCTGAGGCTCCATGCTCAAGTACCTGGGGTGAAAATGTGTATTCTTGAGGTTTAATTAGCATACCACAATTCCTCAGAAGCTGTGCAACAAATCATTATATATAGCCAGGCAACTGCCAAAGCATACTATGTGCTTTTTTCAGCATCCCATCTTGTTTGCCTCTTGAGGATTGCCATATGGCAGCATGCTGACTTGAGATTGATGGCAGTTATAAGCTGGCACATCTGGAAGGCACCCAGTTTGGCACTTGGGTGTCTTATAGAATTGTGTGAAGGGGTGAATTCAATAATGGTATTCACATACGTTGTGATAAAGTCACACGAGAACTTAACGTGAGTCTGTGCTTTCTTTTTTTCTTTCTTTCTGTAGGACATGATCATAATGTTTCTTCAGTAGCCATCATGCCCAATGGGGATTATATAGTATCTGCTTCAAGGGATAAAACCATCAAAATGTGGGAAATTCAAACAGGGTAAGATCTTGCAGATATATTTATATGAAGGTGAAACGATACATCTTTAGACTTGCCTTTAGGAAATGAGATGAACACCGTAGAGCAGTGGTGGTGAACCTATGGCACGTGTGCCAGAGGCGGCAATCAGAGCCCTCTCTGTGGGCACGCACGCCATGCTCCAGAGATGGCAACCGTCCCTCTTCAACCAGCTGCCCGCTAACTCACCAAGGTCCCACATGGCCGGATGCATCCCAGCACGGCTGGTTTCCCTCCTCCCCCTGCCCTGCCTCGCCTCGCCTTGTCTTGCCTCACCCCACAGGACGAGCCTCCTGCCCACTGCCCCACCTGCCAGAGACCCCCTGGATCTCCCCCAACCCTGCCTGGCCCCCACAGGCGTCCCTCCTCACAAGCAACATCGAGGTGACCACGCCCACCTTGGCCACACCCACCCAGTCTGCCATGCCCACCACAGCCACGCCCACCTGGCACCCGGTGATAAATAAGTGGGTTTTGGGTTGCAGTTTGGGCACTCGGTCTCTAAAAGGTTCGCCATCACTGCCGTAGAGGAACCATTGGCTTGTAGTTAGTGGAAGAAAGGCATTTCATAGAGAAAAACTCAGATTGACTTCTCAGCATCTCTAAGTTAACAGGATCAAGTGGCAGGTAATAGGGAAGACCAGTCTGATGCAGAACTAACAGAGCTGTTCATCAGATGAAGATATTCTTTGGTTGCTCAATTAGTAGATGATGACCATCAAACAGATGCCTGACCTGTGGTGGGTTAGGCCACAACATAACCAAGTCTGGTTAAAATATGTGCCAACCTGTTCATAGCTTTCCTGGTTCTCCTGGTATATTGGAAGGCAAAGTATTTTCTTTGCCAATACAAACTTCTATACTAATTGTGTAATACCATGCACAAGGCCTCTGTTTGTTCCTGGAGACAACATATTGGATACTTACCTTTGATCACAGTTTTTCCAGTGTTTCATAACACGGATTCCTGCTACATTATCTGCCTGAGCAGAAGATTATTTACTAGGAACAGACCAGTCTCTGTAGCCAGTATGGTTGTTATATTTTAGCACAGAGATGTACAAGTGAGAAATAAAGGCAAATTGCCTCTATGAAGCTCTGGCTTGTATAGTGACATGTTTCCCTCTGTTTTTTTTCAACCACTGTCATAAAGACTGAAATTCTGTTCATGGCTGAAACTTACTGATTTAATATAGTGTCTGAAAACCTTGTAATTTGTAAATTGGAGGGGGAAAAAACAGTGCATGGAGAGTGATCATGTTAATTCAGCTCAGCATTGAATCACTCGGTTTTGTCCATCCTGGTTGTCTCAATTTTAAAATATGGTCTTTGGCATTCTACACAAAAAACAAGTGTTGTCTTCAGCCTGTGTTGTTAGTTTACACAATCCCAGTTTAAAAACTTTGTATTTGTTGTGGATAAGCATAGTTCTTTTCACTTGTCACGTACTATAGCCCAGGAGCATTGGAAATGTGATACATACATTTCTTTAGACTTGCAAGGAAAGTGATCTCAGATTTCCTGTCTTCCTTCAGCATATCCAATATTTTGGATATTTTCTGTAGAATTGGTCTGATATTGGTGGCTATCCTGGAAAACCTCTTGAGACCATTTTATGCTCCTGCTCAAATCTTGATTTCTTTAACTGTTCTCCCCCCCCCCCATTTACTTTGTTGTCTGCCTATTCAAAACTCCCATAGCCTTCCCAACCCAGTTTCATAACAAAAATTTCTAAACTAGGTTGGCAAGACTACAGGCTAGCACTTTTTAAAAAATGTAGCCACCTGAATTACTCGCAGACCATCAGTTTTATTCGTTCTGTTTTCTGTAGCAATCTTGCATTAATGTGACATGTTTTCTTTCCTGTCAACAGCTACTGTGTGAAGACTTTCAATGGGCATCGAGAATGGGTCCGCATGGTACGGCCTAACCAGGATGGCACGCTGATTGCCAGCTGTTCTAATGACCAGACCGTGCGTGTCTGGGTGGTAGCAACAAAGGAGTGCAAAGCTGAACTTAGAGAACATGAGCATGTAGTAGAGTGTATTTCCTGGGCTCCCGAGAGCTCTTATTCCACCATACTGGAAGCTACAGGATCTGAGGTAAGAGATTCCACTTAGAGAAACATCCTTATTGGTTTGGCAACCTATCCATTTGAGAGTTTGAGATGCTCTGGATTTTCTTCCAAGGGAAATCTTCTTTATCCTCTTTATAGAATCAAAGACAAGTTGTTTTGCCCCGTGCCATCACCCTGATGAACACTTAATTCCCACAGCACTGTCTAGAGGCCTAAGAAATTTACCCATATAGTAGCTATTGCTACTACCATTTTTTCATCTTCTCATTTCTCATCTTTTCATCTTTCCTACTATCTTTCTCTCATTGGTATCTTACGATTTATCACTTGTTTATATCTTATGATTAATGATTGCAACTATGAGTTATGATCTATGACATACCACTTTGTTGTTGTATGTGTGTATACTGAGAGCTTATGCACCGGAGACAAATTTCTTGCATGTCTAATCACATTTGGCCAATAAAAAATTCTGTTCGATTCTTTAATGATGTATAGTGAAAGCTTTCCATTACAAGCAGAATTGTGTAATATCAAATTATCTAAATATGTTTTTATGAGTCATACAAATAATCCCTGACTTAAGCCCACAACTGGGATTTCTCTTGTAGGTTGGTGTGGTCACAGAGTGAGGGATCACATGACCTGACCTGATTTTACTACCATTGTTATCATGGCCATTAAGCAAATAATGTGTCATTAAGTGAATTGCACAGTAGTTAAGTGAATTGATTTTGTTTGTTGGAAGCCAACTGGGAAAGTTGAAGATCATGATCACATGACCTCAGGATGCTGCAACTGTTGTAAATGTAAGCTGGTTGCCAAGCAACCAAACTGCGATTTCAGTAGTGTGACCGTCATAACTTTGAGGACACGTCAGAAGTCACTTTTTCTGAGACTTTGAACCATTGTTGAACAAATGGTCGTAAATCGAGGATTCCCTATATTATGATGCATTACAATATAATTCTGTAATCTCACTGGGGAATTGTGGAAGCTGTAGGTCTGAAACATTTAGAGCAGAGGTGGGGAACTGCCTTTATAACTTATGGACTTCAACTCCCAGAATTCCTGCTCCAGGAATTCTGAGAGTTGAGGTTCAGAAGTCATAAAGGGGTCACAATTCCCCACCTCTGATTTGGAGGAATAGATAGCATCAAATTGGGGAAGACTCAGCACAGTCCTGCTACTTTGGGTGATTGGTATTGTTTTAAGGCAGGTGATGGATTTTTTTTCATTTTCATTTTCATTTTTTTTCTGTAAAAAAATATGGGGTGGTTTCAATGTTTATTTAAAATCATTTGCAATTCCCTACTTCCAAGTATAGCCTATACTTAACAAAATAGGCATAAGCCACCCTCCCCCCAAAAACTTGTGACCACCTGTGTGAATTATACCATAGTCTTTCTTGGACTGGAATCAACAATTAAGATTGTAAAGATAGTAAAAATGTTTTTAAAATGACTAAATTCAAATATAGAAGTGACAGTTGATCCTTTGGGCAGCAGAAGGATTGTTAACGCTGTGAGACCTTAGGTTTTTAGCTTAGCATTTCAGTGGAGCATAAATGAAATCTAACTGAATGCCTCTGAGGAGAATATGAGTAGGCCCACCACCGGCAAATCTCATTCCTTAGTAACCTCTGGCCATAGCATACTTAAGGGCCTTAAGTATGAGAATCTAAACCAAGGGTAGGCAACCTTGGCTCTTTTATGACTCGTGGACTTCAACTCCCAGAATTCCTGAACCAACATGGCTCAGCTTGGAAACCTTTCCCTTTCCCCTCAGCATGGCTGGCTCAGGAATTCTGGGAGTTGAAGTCCACAAGTCATAAAAGAGCCAAGGTTGCCTACCTACCCCTGATCTAAACCATGAGCATGGGCAACAGTTGATTTTGTGAATGACCTGCTCCCTTGTCACACAAGATCTACAGCAGAAGCTCTTCATGTTGCTTTGCAATCAGTTGGAAGTCAGTGTAAGGAAGCTGTCATTCCATCTAAGTGTTTTTCCAAATAAACCATATCGTTGCCTTGTATTTAATAGGGCATGAAGGCAAAGAGGTTGATAGGGAGAAGAAACAAGAGTGGCTTTTCATTTATTCGTTTGTTCATTCGATTTCTATAGCCGCCCATCTCAGCCAAGTGACTCTTGTGGATGTGGTTAGACGCAGCAGTTCTCAACCTATGGGTCGCGACCCCATTTGGGGTCGATCGACCATTTCACGGGGGTCGCCAAGCAAGGCTGTCCACCATTTTTTCCCCCTTTTCCAGCGGGTGCCTTACCTCCCTTGAGCTGGGCCAGCTGGTGGTCGGCCTGCTCCGTCTCTGCCGCTTGCCAGCTATGCCTCGGCCAGCTCAAAGGGCGGAACCACGCATGCGTGGCGCTCCCGGGCAGGGAAAGTCCTCGACTTACGACCGGTTGGGGGTCACGGCATTAAAAAGGTTGAGAACCACTGGGTTAGAGTGAGTAAAGGGAGTCATGGCTGGCCATGTTAGCAAATTGCCACTTGGCCTGGGGAATCTGGCTAGACTCCTAGGGAACCATACCTGCATTGCAGTACAATTTATATATCAGGTAATCAGTGTGTGAAGTTCATTTTTATTATACATCTCGCCATCCTACACCATGACCATTATTTTTTCTTTCTGTGAATAAAGTCCTCAGAGGGCAAGCTACGCAGAGCAGGCTTCTGGGTTCAATTCCTTATCCATGCCAGCTCCTCTGTGAAAATTCATTTACTAAATGACTATGGAGCTCTCAGTCATTCAGGTCATGGTTGTCCCAAAGGTGCTTTTCCCAAACACAGAACTGAAGAAGCTTCTTGGATGAGAAACGAAATGTTTTGAAGGAAAGAAAAAAAAACTAAGAAAGCCCAGTTGCCTTTTGCAAAAACATCATTTACTAGATATATATATATATATATTTGTTTAAAAAATTAGAATGGCAGCATAAAAGGATTGCCACCAATTTGCCTTTATTGTGATCAGGGTTGCAACTTTTCCAATTTCTGCAAAGATTATCCCTGCATTCCTATCTTAGTCATTTCTCTCAGATGACTATTTTTTTTCCTCCCCCAAGCCTGTGCTGGCTCAATGCTGGAATGATAACCAACAGCCTCGAGGGCTGAAGAATGTTAGATTCCCATAACTGTTTAGTGAGACCTTATTCCAGCTTTGCTTTTAAGGGGGCCCTACAGTCATGGGGGCAGAGAATGTATGTAATAGCAAAGCTCAAATTTTGTCTGAACATACATTAGCCTTCCCCAGGGTGGATCCTGATCTAGGTTGAGACCCTCCTTTGAAAAATTCCCAGTTAGCATTGCCCACATTTCTGAAGGGAACCAGCTTGTGGAAGGCTGATGTAAAAAGTAGCTTTGTGTCTGAAGTTCTGTTTTTATCTTTGACATTTAAGAGTAAATCCTATCATAAGGTGCCTCAGGCTCCCTTTTCCAGTATGCCAACGATAATGACCTGGTTGCTACTTAAGTGTCTTCAGTGTTTCGTGTCCTGTTTAATTCTGGATTTCTACATGTTCTATCCCCAGGGTTTTCACGAAAAAGTGCTCCGTTGACCTGAAGGAACACAAAGAAACTTCTGTAAAGCAAAGAGTAGGTTCTTCGAAGAAGTCGAGAAAAAGACTTCTCGACTTCTTCGAAGAACCTACTCTTCGTTTTGCAGAAGTTTCTTTGTGTTCTTTCAGGTCAACGGAGCACTTTTTCGTAGAAACCCTATTGAATGACGTGGATGACTGAGAATCTCCATAGACCGTATCTTAGAGGAATCTCTTAATCGGTTCTTGTGAGTCTCTAAATGAAATGGTTCTCCTTGAACATAGGAACAGAGGAGGCAAATTAGGGAGGCCTAATGGAAGATGATGCATGGTACAAATTATATCTTTATCATTGTGTCTGAACAGATAAACTGCACCATTCTGGTGCAGTTGTTTCAGATATAATAGTATCTTTTTTTTAGATCAGCTAAAAACAATTCCCCAAGTAGTTACCCTAAACGTGGCCACAAGTTGGATGTTAAAAAGTTGAAGGGGAAAAGATATATTTGAACATAATGGAAAATCCTCTCAACATCAGGCTGTCAGATATCTGGCATGTTGTGGATCTAACCCACCTGAGGACAGCAGATTATACTGTGCTTGATGAGAAAACATGGAGTGAATTAGTGCATTCTCTCTATTTTGAAAATATGAGACTCAGGAATTATTCAGGTCAAGTTCTTCTGCTAACTGGAAGGCAAAAGTCCCCAATACAGCAATCCTTACATGGGCAAAGTTAATAATATCTAGTGTGGCTGTGGGACATCTTCAAACCTCTCAGTTCTAAAATCACTTTCCTCAACAGGTCTCTGTTAATGAAAGCAGCCCTCAATCAACGAAGACAAAGTTCACAGTTCATTCTGTGAAACTCTCCACACACGTTTATGATGGAGCAATGTTTTTTTTAAAAATTGGACAGATTTTGTTGTTGGGTTTTTTTTGCTTTTTTTTGAATTGATGATTTGTGCTCATTGGCTGAACCTTAAGCAGCTCCGTTGTTTTTTATTTTATTTCTTTTTACCTCTGTTCCTCCCAGAGGAGCTTTGAGCAGCTTGCAAGCGAATAATAAGAAAGTCCTACATGTGCAAAGATCATGAAAAAACAATGAACACAATAAAGATAAAAAAAGAACGAAATTTATTTAATGAAATAGAAAAGCAAAATAATAGGCAATTATGTTGAGACTCTAGAAAGAGTACAGAGAAGAGCAACAAAGATGATTAGGGGACTGGAGGCTAAAGCATATAAGGAACGGTTGCTGGAATTGGGTATGTCTAGTTTAATGAAGAGAAGGACGAGGAGGGACATGATAGCAGTGTTCCAATATCTCAGGGGCTGCCCCAAAGAAGAGGGAGTCAAGCTATTCTCCCAGGCGCCCGAAGGCAGGACAAGAAGCAACGGGTGGAAACTAACCAAAGAGAGAAGCAACCTAGAAGTAAGGAGAAACTTCCTGACAGTTAGAACAATTAACCAGTGGTGGAATTAACCAATTCCAGAAGCGGTGAATGCTCCAACACTGGAGGTTTTTAAGAAGAGACTAGACAGCCATTTGTCCGAAATGGTATAGGCTTTTCTGCCGGAGCAGGGGGTTGGACTAGATGACCTCCAAGGTCCCTTCCAACTACTACTACTACTACTACTACTACTACTACTACTACTACTTCTTCTTCTTCCTCCTCCTCCTCCTCCTCCTCCTCCTCCTCATCCTCATCCTCATCCTCCTCATCATCATCATCATCATCATCATCATCATCATCATCATCATCATTATTATTATTATTATTATTATTATTATTATTATTATTATTATTATTATTATTATTCAGCCCAGATGTGTTATATCTTAAGCACTGAAGCTTGGCGTAGATCCTCCTTACCATTGAGGGCAACTGTGCTTCTAGAGACAGGTTAAAGTCAAGGAAAGCACCAGGTTGGGCATGTTTTCCTTTGGAAGAAATGATACCTTCTGCCATACAGAAGGTATTTTCCTAATCCCTGGGTCTGGAACCCTCCTGTCAACAGAACCTCTGACTTAGGAAGGTACAAGAAAAGAGATGGTCTTGAATCTCGGGGTGATCACCCAATCTCTTCCAGTGGCTTTGGATAGACAACTCAAGCGAAATCTCTCCATTCGAAGCTCTCTGGGGATGGTCCTACAAATAGGAATAAAACTTCCATATACTGATCCTGCATTTCTTAACTCTCTGAGCTGTTGTAGCACTGTTTCATGGTCAGTGGTCTCAAAAGATACAATCTCAGTGGTGCTGAGGTAAAATCTCAAGAAAATTAAGACTGTAGGTCAGTGTTTCTCAACCTTGACAATTTTAAGGCATGTGGACTTCAACTCCCAGAATTCCACAGCCAGCATTGCTGGCTGTGGAATTCTGGGAGTTGAAGTCCACATACCTTAAAATTGTCAAGGTTGAGAAACACTGCTGTACGTTGTGTGCAGGCACCTCCCCCCCCTCACACACACACGCCCACACACATACACCTTTTTGTGCCACTTCAAGCTAATCTAAGCGGTGTACAGTCTATATAATAATACACCCAAACAAACAAAATATATAGGTGTATTTACATCTCCTGAGGCCAATCCAGTCCCACCATCTCTGCTGGATCCCAGCAGCCACGATGGGCAAGGATTTAGAACAGGGGTAGTCAACCTTGGCTCTTTTATGACTCGTGGACTTCAACTCCCAGAATTCCTGAGCCAGCTAAGCTGGCTCAGGAATTCTGGGAATTGAAGTCCACGAGTCATAAAAGAGCCAAGGTTGACTACCCTGATTTAGAACATAGGAAGTTGGCCTGACATTTTGCCCCTTTTCTGTGGTTGCAATAATTCTAATGAATGCTACAGATTCTCGCCAGACCGTGTCCTTAATGCTTTCAACATAAATCTGCAGTGGCATCTATTTTAGAGCACACAGGAGCACCTTTGTCTTACTCGAAACCATGTGCCTATCTGTTGGGAGACTCTCTGCTGTTGTATTCCTTCTGAGTATCTTGAAGGGAAAATACCTAGAGCTTCACTTAAGTCTCCACATTGTTTACTTACTTCTTCGTGCAGAATATCTAATTTTTACAGAGTATTCCTTTTTTTTCCTCCCCTGTAGACTAAGAAGAGTGGTAAGCCTGGGCCTTTCCTGCTTTCTGGATCTAGAGACAAGACCATTAAGATGTGGGACATTAGTACTGGCATGTGCCTTATGACTCTCGTAAGTTCCCCGAATATCCTTTTCTCTTGTTCATTTGCTTTGTAACTCTTGCCTAGTTGCTACATGAGGGAATAGATCTGCACTTCTTACGGGGTGAGCTCAGGCATCCTCTGAGGAATCCAAGCGCAGGCATCAGAATAAATAGAATTGGGAGGGCTTGAAGGAAGACTAGAAAAACAGGTTACCATTTCCACCCAAGAAACTCAAAATGCTGTTAATTCTAGCATATAGCAAATTTGGGACAAGGAGCCACATAATCTGAACTCCTGGATTTAGATTTGTGTTATTCATATCCAGATATCTAACTGTGATCTGCTTGTGACTTTGGTGTTTTTTTTCCCCTTTTCTATTTTCGCTTAAAAGGTGGGCCATGATAACTGGGTACGTGGTGTCCTGTTCCACTCTGGTGGTAAATTTATTTTGAGCTGTGCCGATGACAAGACCTTACGTGTCTGGGACTACAAGAACAAAAGATGCATGAAGACTCTTAACGCGCACGAACATTTTGTTACCTCGTTGGGTATGTATATGCATTAAGTGTGCTGGTAGCGTGCGCCACACAGAGAGAGAGACAGAGACAGAGACAGAGACTGAGAGACTCCTTGCCTTGCTCTGTGACTGGGCTTGTATGTTGAACGCATCACACCTCAACCAAAAAACCCAGTCAACAAATGCCCATCAAGTCAACTTGCCTCCATCAACAATAAATAAGTAGCTCGTGCAAGGAAATTCCAGTTATTTCTTTAATCCTCTCCATACACATAAATCATGGNTTCCCCCCCCCCCCCCCACTCATTCTGCATGCTTGTAGAAAGCACTGCTCTTACTGATCATAACTTCAGTCAGCCTTTATTTTTTCCTGGTTGTTGTTGATCAGTCGCTAAGTTGTGTCCAGCTCCTTGCGACCTCATGGATTATAGCCGTGGTGGCGAACCTATGGCACGCGTGCCACTGGTGGCACGCAGAGCCCTCTCTGGGCACGCGCCCCAGTCCTAGGCCTTCAGCTGGGTTTTATAAAACCTTTTCGCTTTAGGCCTCCGCCGGCGTGTGCAAAAAAAAGAGAAAAGGGTTCAATCAATCAATTTCAACTTCTCGTGGGGAAAAAAAACATCTCGCAAAGTTGGTATTGATTGATTGAACTTTTTAGTCCCACCCAGTCTGTCGTTACCACAGCAGCCACACCCACCCAATGGGCCACGCCCACCCGGCACATGATGGTACATAAGTGGGTTTTGGGTTGCAGTTTGGGCACTCGGTCTCTAAAAATTTTGCCATCACTGGATTATAGCATGACAGACAGACAAACAGACAGACAGACACACACACACACACACACACACACACACACACACACACACACACCCTCCACTGTCTCCCTGAATCTGCCCAAACTCATTGCCCACTGCATCAATGACACCATCTAACCATCTCCTCCTCTTCCATCCTCTTCCATCTTTCCCAACATCAGGGGTCTTTTCCAACGAGTCCTCATTTGGTAGCCAAAGTATCTGAGCTTCATTTTTCCCCCCTCAATCAATTGATTAATTCTTCTTATAGAACATGTATTTTAGTAACCCTCTCCAAGCTAAAATTTGAAGTTATTCTGTCAGTATTCGACTTTCATAGTTGCACATAACCGCAAATGAAAAAGCATCACTACTGCTATTCTGATCTTTGATGTTACTGAAATCCTCTTCACGATACTTCCCACTGCTTTCCTTCCAAGGAGGAACAAAACTATTTCCCTTTCTTGATGTGAAGTTAGAGACCAAACTTACATAATCTCTAGACTACACATTCTTGTTTCAGAACTGTTGACAGAAATCCACTTTGCTTCCAACCAGCAAAGTCAATTGAGGAAGCCAGATTTGCTTAATAACCATGTGATTCACTTAACAACTCACATGATTTACTTAACAGCTGCAGTAGAACGGTTCTGAATTCAGGCCCAGTCATGTGATGACTTACCCAACAACCACATCATTTAGCAAATGCAGGTCGGTCCCACAAGTCCAGAACTACCCGTACAGCTACTCTTATTTTTCTAGGTTTAACCGGTATATTTGACACCAGTAACGTGTGATTTGTTTCACAATTTGTTCCTGGAAATATCTCGACTTCTTTCAGATTCTGGATATCAGCTTCATTCTTGGAACAGATTCTTTCTAGCAGTATTGTTCGAAATGTTCTGGTCATAGGAGACACGTTCAAAGAGTTGGGCCATTTTCCATTTTGAGGATTCTGAGCTCAAAGCAAAGCTCTTACGTTTCAAGGCTTTGTTGCGAAGGAACACGGCTGGCCTCGAACACTTGATGGCATTGTGACTGGGCTTTTTTTTGTTCCAAGCATGAACTAAAACATGTTTCCTGTTTGTTTGTACCTCTGCTTCAGAGAATAATTGCTTTTTCTGTCTGTCCCAGCCCAATCTTTGTTCTCAGAGCATGTGGGAGCACATTCTGCATGTTTGCCAGCCACGGCTAGCTTGCTATGTTAGCTAGTACAAATGTTACAGTCAGGTGGTGGGGACAGAAGGGATTTAAGACCTACATTTTGCCTTTTGTAGCTTGCTGCCTGGCTCTAGAAGGGCTGGATGCTTAGCAATTTGTTCTTACACTGTCTTGAACTAATTTAAGTCTAAATCTAACTAAGAGAAGGACTAAGGGTGACACGATAGCACTGTTCCATACTTGAGGGCCTTCCACAAAGAAGAGGGGAGTCAACTTATTCTCCAAAGCACCTGAAGGCAGGACAAGAAGCAAAGGATGGAAACTAATCAAGGAGAGAAGCAACCTGGAACTAAGGAGAAACTTCCTAAGAGTGAGAACAATTAATCAGTGGAACGGCTTCACCTTCAGAAGTTGTGTGTGCTCCAACCCTGGAGGTTTTAAAGAAGAGACAGCCATATGTCTGGAATGGTATACGGTCTCCTCCTTGAGCAGGGAGGTGGCCTAGAAGACCTCCAAGGTCCCTTCCAACTCTACCCTGCATCTGGTACCCTTTCTTGCTGCCCATAGCATCATCATCATCACCATCACAATAACAACAATGATAATGATAGAGTTGGAAGAGACTTTGGAGGTCTTCTACTCCAATCCCCTGCTCAGTCAGGAAATCCTACACCATTTCAGACAAATGGCTGTCCAGTCTCTTCTTAAAAACATCCAGTGTTGGAGCATTCACCGCTTCTGGAGGCAGGTTGTTCCACAGTATTGGAACATTCCTCTTGGAATACTGTACATCTAGCAGACGGGTGTTTCATCTCCAGAAGTCTTAAGGCTGGAAGGGAAACAGTTCCTGGGAGGAAGCAAAGGAGGCCTGTCTATATCTCTTGCTTAAGAAAAGGGATTTTAACTGTTGGGAACCATGATGGGAGTTTAAAGAGTCATGCAAGAAGCTTGTATTGGCATCAGCATTGTGCGTGTTCATATTCCATTTGTTTGATTTGTGGCATTTAATACATAAATTGGCAGTAGCGTCCGCAGTCCAAAGAACCTTACAATAAATTAAACACGCATGGCAGTCTTCAGACTCCTTACTAAATTGCTTGGGGTCCACCACAGAGCTTGTAAGAGCTGGTCAAAACCTAAACAGAAGATCTCTGAGTTCTCACTTGTTCTTGTTGACTAAATTTGAATGGAGCATATGAACTTTGCTTTGTTGGTAAACACATGGCCTTCACCTAATGGGTTGACTTTAAATCTCTAAACTTGGAAGTGAAGAAATACTTGGCATGGGAAGTGGGGGACCATTTCTCAACCTGAGCCACTTTTAAGATGTGTGAACTTCAACTCCCAGAAGTCCATAGCCAGCGTGCTTTAGGATGTTACTTGTTATTAATTTAATGAAACATTGACTAACGTTTTATGTAAGAATTGACAGTATTTCATTTCATTCAGTAGTTTTTTTAAAATTGGCTTACCTAATCCTGATGTCGTGCAGGTATGAGGCGTTGGAATTGTACCCGTAGTTCAAGTGATATTAGTTCATAAACTTTTTAGTTCAATTTCAATAGAATTATTCGATGCACACTAGCTTTTTTTCTCCCCTTTTTTCCTCTCTTCCTTGCAGATTTCCACAAGACAGCGCCCTATGTGGTCACCGGCAGCGTAGATCAAACAGTAAAAGTGTGGGAGTGCCGTTGATTGGATTTACATCTGACCCCTCCCCTCCCCTTCCTGTCCCTCTGGATGCACTCGGATACCATGGTTACCCATTGAGCTCTGTTTAAAATAAATATTGTCCTTTNCTACTAGAGGTACTCCTCCCTCTACGCCTAGCCAGGTCTCAGTAATACCTGCCAGGTCCGCACCCCCCTCTAAAATAAGGTCTTGTATGAGGGGGGCCTTATTAACCACGGACCTGGCATTACATAACATCAGCCGATGGTCCCGGGCCGGAGGGTCTAAGTCTCCTGGGGACCGAGTAGAGACCTGAGGACCGGAGCATGACGTGGATGACTGAGAATCTCCATAGACCGTATCTTAGAGGAATCTCTTAATCGGTTCTTGGGAGTCTCTAAATGAAATGGTTCTCCTTGAACATAGGAACAGAGGAGGCAAATTATGGAGGCCTAAGGGAAGATGATGCATGGTACAAATTATATCTTTATCATTGTGTCTGAACAGACAAACTGCACCATTCTGGTGCAGTTGTTTCAGATATAATAGTATCTTTTTTTTTAGATCGGCTAAAAACAATTCCCCAAGTAGTTACCCTAAACGTGGCCACAAGTTTGATGTTAAAAAGTTGAAGGGGAAAAGATATATTTGAACATAATGGAAAATCCTCTCAACATCAGGCTGTCAGATATCTGGCATGTTGTGGATCTAACCCACCTGAGGACACCAGACTCAAGGATTATACTGTACTTGATGAGAAAACATGGAAGTGAATTGGTACAATCTCAGTGGTGCTGAGGTAAAATCTCAAAGAAAATTAAGACTGTAGGTTGTGTGCAGGCACCTTCCCCCCTCACACACACATGCCCACACACATACACCTTTTTGTGCCACTTCAAGCTAATCTAAGTGGTGTACATACACCCAAACAAACAAAATATATAGGTGTATTTACATCTCCTGAGGCCAATCCAGTCCCATCATCTCTGCTGGATCCCAGCAGCCATGATGGGCAAGGATTTAGAACAGGGGTAGTCAACCTTGGCTCTTTTATGACTCGTGGACTTCAACTCCCAGAATTCCTGAGCCAGCTAAGCTGGCTCAGGAATTCTGGGAATTGAAGTCCACGAGTCATAAAAGAGCCAAGGTTGACTACCCCTGATTTAGAACATAGGAAGTTGGCCTGACATTTTGCCCCTTTTCTGTGGTTGCAATAATTCTAATGAATGCTACAGATTCTCGCCAGACCGTGTCCTTAATGCTTTCAACATAAATCTGCAGTGGCATCTATTTTAGAGCACACAGGAGCACCTTTGTCTTACTCGAAACCATGTGCCTATCTGTTGGGAGACTCTCTGCTGTTGTATTCCTTCTGAGTATCTTGAAGGGAAAATACCTAGAGCTTCTCTTAAGTCTCCACATTGTTTACTTACTTCTTCGTGCAGAATATCTAATTTTTACAGAGTATTCCTTTTTTTCCCTCCCCTGTAGACTAAGAAGAGTGGTAAGCCTGGGCCTTTCCTGCTTTCTGGATCTAGAGACAAGACCATTAAGATGTGGGACATTAGTACTGGCATGTGCCTTATGACTCTCGTAAGTTCCCCGAATATCCTTTTCTCTTGTTCATTTGCTTTGCAACCCTTGCCTAGTTACTACATGAGGGAATAGATCTGCACTTCTTACGGGGTGAGCTCAGGCATTCTCTGAGGAATCCAAGCGCAGGCATCAGAATAAATAGAATTGGGAGGGCTTGAAGGAAGACTAGAAAAACAGGTTACCATTTCCACCCAAGAAACTCAAAATGCTGTTAATTCTAGCATATAGCAAATTTGGGACAAGGAGCCACATAATCTGAACTCCTGGATTTAGATTTGTGTTATTCATATCCAGATATCCAACTGTGATCTGCTTGTGACTTTGGTGTTTTTTTTCCCCTTTTCTATTTTCGCTTAAAAGGTGGGCCATGATAACTGGGTACGTGGTGTCCTGTTCCACTCTGGTGGTAAATTTATTTTGAGCTGTGCCGATGACAAGACCTTACGTGTCTGGGACTACAAGAACAAAAGATGCATGAAGACTCTTAACGCGCACGAACATTTTGTTACCTCGTTGGGTATGTATATGCATTAAGTGTGCTGGTAGCGTGCGCCACACAGAGAGAGAGACAGAGACAGAGACTGAGAGACTCCTTGCCTTGCTCTGTGACTGGGCTTGTATGTTGAACGCATCACACCTCAACCAAAAAACCCAGTCAACAAATGCCCATCAAGTCAACTTGCCTCCATCAACAATAAATAAGTAGCTCGTGCAAGGAAATTCCAGTTATTTCTTTAATCCTCTCCATACACATAAATCATGG